GGGGTTACCTCCAGCTCCTGGGGGTGGGAGGTGAATGCCCGCACCCTCCGCGGTGCCAGGGTGCCCCGCAGCAGCAGGGAGAGGTGGGTGAGCTGCCCGGCCATACAGCTGACATCCAGGCGTTGCAGCGAGTGCAGGTAGAACTGCCAGATCTGGACGGGCGCTGCCAACCAGGCATCCCTGCAGCACAGACAGACGGATGGACGGGGCTCGCCGACGGCACGGCAGGCTCGGGGCGAGCGGCCAAACGTCAAGCGGGAAGCCCAAAGCGGGAGCCTGAACTCTGGGTGAGCTTCTTCTAAGGAACCTGTTTTGGTCCCACCCAGTCCTAAAGCATCGTCTGATGCAGAGATAGCCCGGCTGGCTCAGAAGGCGTTAGCGTGCACACTAGGGATGCTCTGGCCAGGGATTATTTAGAGGAAAAGAGAACGATGTAAAACCCTAAGCTGTAACCATTTTGGGAAGCCTCCTGCCCAGCCTTCGGCTGCTCAGCAAAGCTGGCCAGGCTTGGGAAGCCTCAAGCAAGGAAAGGGCAGCGTGAGCTCCCCTCCTGCCCTGCCACGCACTCGGGGTTAGCGTTTCTCATTTTTCTGGGGTCCTGCTACTTACGTATAAATAGCAACAAAGAACTTTTTGATCTGCGGGCTTGGTCCTCCGGCTACTTTTAAGAAGATGTCCTGTGGCTCCCCGGGCCCCTGCGTGTAGAAATCAGAGCATCGTTCCAACAGTTAACCTCGAGATCAAACCAGCTAATGAGGACTCCAGGGTTTCCTTCCCATTAACGGAAAAAAACGCCACCAACCCACTTACAAAAGCAGATGCTTTCAGCATCTAGTTAAACTATGTTATTAAGTTATTATACAGCTTGGCTGAGCTCTTCCAGTATTTTTAATTACAAAAGAGGATACAAATGACTATCGCATTCCAGGTCTGCATCTGTAATCAAATGTTGGCAAATTTTCCCCAAGTTTTCTAACAAGCCATAATCCAATTACCATACTAACGCGTTTCTGCAACGGCAATTAGCAACTACCCTTCGTCGCCATCTGCACGTATGTGCCCAAGTTTAGTTTTCCTTTCTACCTCCCCCAGTCGCAAAGCAAGCCCAGGAAACTCATCCTGGGCATTGTAAAGCAGGGGCTGCGCTTGGGGAGGGACGCAGAGCGATGGCTAGGCTTGGTCTAAAGAGGACCTCAGCCTGGGACGGCCCTTCCCGCTGCCCAAGCATCACCCAACGGAGAGATGCTCTCCCGCGTGTTCAGGCGATGCATCATCCCCGCCGTACCCCGAGCAGCAGGGAAGGTCTATCCCACACCCAACAAAAGGCTGCTTTTCCCCAGCATCTTAATCATCTGGTATTTGCTCAAAAGAACAAGCGAGTACAGGCTGCTGCACGATGCGATAAGGTGCAACATTCAGCTTCAACAGCAAAAACAACACAGCACCTTTTAATTGGGAATAAAAGGCAATTCCGGTTTCATCACTGCCGGTGTTTCACTACCACGGGCTGATAAATGGGGATGCTCCCTGGATGCAAGGCATTTCTCTCCCAATTAAAACAACCCACAGCAGGAGGAGACAAAGGACAGACTGATGCCAAAGCGTAACCAGTACCATTTTTTTGGTTTCACAAATGATGTCAGGGTCGCTGCAGCGAACAAACATCTCAGGTTCCCCACCTGGCATCCCCACCGGCGCACCTGCGGAGAAGAGAGACCGAGATGAAACCGTATCCAGTGTTTTCTCTGTTTGTGCTTGCTACCCTGCACCCCATGCAGCTGCAGACCAGAATCCCTTATGCTGGACTACCAGTAAATTATACGGGCATACTGGTGCAGGGAATTAATTATAAAATTAATGTAGGCAAGCGGATGGAGAGCGAGTGAGGAGCCCAAGGCAGTGAAAGGGTGAGGAAGCAGTGATGTGCTCTCTGGATGCTGCTGCACCTCCAGGAAGGCCCCTGTGAACCACGGATGCCAACTAATAAGGAAGAGCCCAAGCCCCCGCTGGGCACGTCATGGGCTCACCGGGGAGGGTGTGCCAGGGGGGCAGCCGAATTGTCTTCTTCAGGAAGGTGAGCTCCGGGTGGTAGAAGCGAAAGGTCTGGTCCACCACATGAGGCTGGGGCTCCACTTTCACCC